GCCATGTCCAAAGGGAAGCTGGAGGTTTTTCTGGCTTTTAAATTTCTGCGAAAAAAGACCCGTTGAGCAGTTGTCACTTTTCAGCAGGGTATTTCACCTTCTCTTCATGAGGCTAGGACACAGCAGAACTACTGACAACTGTTGTCTAGGTGGCAAAGCATCCTGGCCCTGGCGATTGCCCAACACACTTGCATTCCAACACCCTGACAAACAAGTGTGCTTTAAAGCATGGGCAATTTTAGCTCTGGATATCTTTCCATTGATTCCATTTCTAAATTAGAGCCCTGACTCAGAGAAGAGAGTCCTCGTCTCTGGATTCCTGGCTTTTTGTGTTCTGGTATCTGTCAGGTTTTCCCAGCACACAGTGCACCCATGAGGTCAGCGATACAGATTACACTCCTCTGGAACTTTGTAGCCCAGGGAAGATTATGTCTGACCTTATCTGTGAGCAGAGTTCTGTGCCTGGGTTTACTGGGCCTCTTAAATTCTATGGGAAAGGGGACCTGGTAGGCTATAAAGTGATCTATAAGACAATTTCCTGTTACTTCCTGCCTGGCTCCTACAGGGACAACCAGTCTCAAAATGCAGACAGAGGGGAACAACTGGAGTGGCTAACACATAATAGGTAATCAAAATTGGTGCCATCACCATCAGCTCTTTGTATACTCTCTTGAGAAGCATAGGCTTGTGGCACAGACCCAGCATCCCCCTTTTTAACTAAGATTTTGCTGACTGATTTGGCTCTTAGGCACAGTGGAAAAGGAAAAGGAGCCTAGTTCTGTTGAGGCTACTGCTGCCTAAATAATATCTCTCAGTAAAGCCACAATTTTCCCTAGCTGGGAAGATGCCTAGTGACTAGAGTTCACATCAAGCCTGTCATATAAAAGGTACCGTTTCTGGGTTTCAGACAGTGCTTTACTGTCTGGACATTTCTCAGAGGGAGATCACACTTCAGAGAATATGTCTCAGTGGCAATTTGCTATAGATCATCACCCCTTTCATGCTGTCTTTGGACTTCCCTGACTTGAAGGTCAGCTTGTCATGGGCCTCTCACTTAGTCAGAAAGGCTGGCCATATGTCACCCAGCACAGTGCTCACTGCAATAAATTGAATATAGCATACTCTAGTCATGTTGGGACTCTGTCTGGGGTCTAGGGAAAAATTGAGTGCACAGGGCGGACATAGCACATCAAATCATCAGTCCTAGTTTATTGAATATATGACCCCTTGCTCATTCCTGCTGCCTCACATCGGAGAATGTGAGGTTATCTGTAACTCTGACTCAGTTCTCATTTCTCCAGGGGTTCAATTTATCAGTCGTGGTGTTCCTGTGTCGGGTACAGTTGGTAGGCAATCACATGTAAATGGAAATGCACAGGGCATGTACACACCCTTCAGAAAGTCATAGCCGGGTGGCAGGAAAGGTATAGAGGGAAATGCAAAGGGAAAGAGATGACACACATAAGCAGACCAACACCATTCAGTGGGTCACACGGAGAAGCATGGGGTTGTAAGCAGAGGGGAAGAAGTCCGATGGCCTCACCATGTTGGAAAAACAGTGCATGTGTAGTTCAGTGAACTCAGAGGACAGAAGTCTGAGAAAGAATAGTTAGAGATAGCGCTGGCGTGATGCCTCATTGTGAGTCTGTGAGATGGCTGGTAAGTGATCTACATCTAGAAACCCAGGGCAGTGAAAAAAGTCACATCTCACCTCCCCTTGGTGACTTTTAGAAGTTGCTAGAAAAAATTCACTTAAATATCTAAGAGTGCAATATATAAAAAAACACGTACTGTTAATATACAAGGGAATGTAATTCAGCCTTAGAAATTATGTGCTGTAGGACATGGATGAAGCAGGCTGCATTATGTAAGGTGAAACCTACCACTCACCGAAAGACATACAGTATATGATTTTGTTTATGTGACATACCTAACTAGTCAAGCTTATAAAAACAAGATTCATGCTAGGGGCTAGTGGAAGGCAGAAAGCAAAGATTTGTGCTAGGGGCTAATGGAAGGAAGAAACAAGTGGTTACATATTAATGGACACGAAATTTCAGTTAAACAAGTTAAATTCTCTTTAGCAATCTATTCTACATTTCACCTAAGCCAAACATATTTTACACTTAAAAGTTTGTTGAAAGTAGATCTCATGTTGTGTTCTTACTACAATAAAAAAAATCAAATTCTACAGAAATTCAAGAGGCCATTTCACTTTACAACCATTAATGGATCCCAGCTTTCCCCTTGAGTTCAAAGCCATCCAAATAATCCTAGTTACCCTGGAAAAAGCCCCAGAGTAAGGAAACCTAAGTTAAAATCCAAGTTTTTTTTTTTTTCACTTAGAAGTTGTTGTGAGGTTTTGAGCAAGTGATTTCACTCTTTGTGTTCTCTCTCAGCAAGGAGAACAATACAGCCCATATCACAGCCACACTACAAATGTCAGGGCCATGGAGGGCTCTGCTGCCTCTACAGTTGCATACTGGGAAGCAAAGCTTTCCAAAAGATGTCAGCTGGACTCTTCTTCTCAGGGCTTACAGGCCATGCCTGGGTTCCATGATTACTGCTAGCTATAAAAGAGATGGCTCACCAACTTTTGAAGTAGAAAAGAAAACAAGGGCTGTGGAGAAAACTAAGCCTTAGTTGTTGCCCCAGCAGATTCTTCAACCTTGCCTGCAGATGTTTTGTTTTGTTTTAATAGAGCCACTGGTAATGAAAGGTATTTATTCTGCTTAGAAACAATTTGTCCCATTCATATAAGTAAAACACACAAAGAATGTCACTAAAGAGTAATGGAATACAAACGAGTCAATAAGCAAAACTTGTTGGGAAAAAGCTTTGAAAAGAAATGACACCCTGTCATTAGCTATTGCTGCATAATGCATATAGCTCCTAAATCCAGTGATTAAAACAAAAGGCGTTTTGATTCTGCCTCATGTGTCTTGTGTTTAGCTGATCTTGACTGTACTCACTTATAATTCTTCAGGTCAGCTGGGGTTGTGAGCTAGGTGGGTCCTGGTTGAGGTTTTTATAGTTTTTTTTTTTTCCTACAGGTTTCTCATTCTTTCTGGGTCAAAAGGCTTGCTTGGGTGTACTCTTGTTATAGCAATAGCAGAAAAACAACTAAGTGAAAAAAGCATGTCATAATTTTAAAGACACTTCTGTTTTATCTCCTTAGCCAAAGAAAATCATATGTCCAAACACAGGCATTAGAACTTAAAGACTACCCACAATGGTAGGAAACTATATTTACATGACACTGGAAATGCATAAACGGGTGAATTTTTTAGTCATGAATGCAAATTTTTACCAGGTTAGGTTTTGCTAAGTCAGAGTCCTAAAGTCAGCATACATTTTTAATTCTTTACAAGGACACCATCCTAAATTAGTCTGCAATTAATGAAATTACTACCAAAGTTAATGGTTATACTATGCTTTTTTTTTTTAACAGTTTACATTGCATACTTAGAATTGAGAGATGTATTTGCAAGTAAAAATGGGGTCTTACCAGCTTTATTTGTAATAGCCAGAACCTGGAAACAACACAGATGTCCCTTAATTGAGGAATGGATACAGAAATTGTGGTATATTTACACAATGGAATACTACTCAGGTATTAAAAACAAGGAAATCATGAAATTTGCAGGCAAATGGTAGGACCTAGAAAAGATCATCCTGAGTGAGGTATCCCAGAAGCAGAAAGACACACATGGTATATATTCACTTATAAGTGGATATTAGACATATAATATAGAATAAACATAGTAAAAATCTGTAAACCTAAAGAAGCTAAGCAAGAAGGAGGACCCTGGGTAAGATGATCAATCCTCACTCAGAAAGACAAACGGGATTGACATTGGAAGAAGGAGAAAACAGGCAACAGGACAGAAGCCTACCACAGAGGTCCTCTGAAAGACTACCCAGCAATGTATCAAAGCAGATGCTGAGACTTATAACCAAACTTTGGGCAAAATGCAGGGAATCTTATGAAAAAAGGGGGAGATAGTAAGATCTGGAGAGGACAGGAGCTCCACAAGGAGAGCAATAGAACCAAAAAATCGGGGCCCAAGGTTCTTTTCTGAGACTGATACTCCAACCAAGGACCATTCATGGATATAACCTAGAACCCCTGCTCAGATGTAGCCCATGGCAGCTCAGTCTCCAAGTGGGTTTCCCAGTAAGAGGAACAGTGACTGTCTCTGACATGAACTCAATGTATGGCTCTTTGATCACCTCCCCCTGAGAGGGGAGCAGCCTTGCCAGGCTACAGAGGAATGTAATGCAGCCAGTCCTGATAAGACCTGATAGGCTAGGGTCAGATGGAAGGTGAGGAGGACCTCCCTTATCAGTGGACTTGGAAAGGGGCATGGGAGGAGATGAGGGAGGGAGGGTAGGATTGGGAGGGACTGAGGGAGGGGGCTACAGGTGGGATACAAAATGAATAAACTGTAATTAATATAAAAATAAAAAATAGAAAATAGGGTCTTACACCTCATTTGACTTGTACTTACCGTATTAGCACATAAGCTGTCCCTAAAAATGTCTCATGAAAACTAAACCAGGTAATAAACTTAGAGGACATTGCATTAAGTGGACGAAGATAGATGCAAAAAGAAGAATACTATATAACCTCATTTGTATGTAAAATCTAAATACTGAGTTTGTAGAATGGTGATTTCTATGGGCTTAAGGAATGTGAAAATATTGAGGAGGCACAAAATGTCAACTACATGGCAGGAATGTTGTCTAGCATGGTGACTACTGTTAATAATGTATTACATATTTGAAAATTGCTAAGAAAGTAGATTGTCAGTGTTCTCGCCACAAAAATGTGTGAGTTGTTACAGATGCTAATTAGCTTGATTTAATAACTTCATGGTGTATGCATATATCAAAACATCACATCACACAGTAAATATACAGTTTCTGTTTGTTAGTCATATCTTAATAAAATTAAGGAGAAAAAAACACTAATGATATGTTTGCTTTTTCTTTTGCAGGGTTGACATGAAGAATTGAGGGAGGAAATGACAATGGATTAAAATAAACATGACTCCTTAAAGATTTTTATATATTTGTATGATGATTATGTACCTCCTGAATGCCTAAGACTTTAGTAAAAATATCCTGTTTGTACATTTATATTTCTTCCTTCTGGTTGGTTGCAGTTCTCACTTTAGCTACATTTTTTTTGGCACCTTGCAGAGAAAATCAGCAGATGAATTTACCAACTGGGGAGTGTGGTTTTGAGGAGAGATGTGATTTTTATGGAGGGGGGGTTATGGCAATGTGCGTGCAGTGATTTTGATGTTAAGTTCTTTAAGTTACTCCCAGAGTCTCGTGGTCAATATTGGAGACGTCTTTTAGTTTGTCACCTTTTCAATGATCTCCATTAACTTTTTATGAATTCAAATAAATATTTGAGTAAAAGTGAAATATGAATCTAGACTAAATTAATTTTCATACCTTGAGATAGCTACCTGTTCCCTCAAGTGGAGAGAAATATTATTTACAAGGCAGCCAAATTCCATATTGCGTAAGTGGGGACTTCTGAATTATTAGATACCATGGGAAACACTATGGCTGGCTTATCATTGCATATGAGCTTAAATACTGCATGAATAATCTTGTACTGCTGTTACTTCCCATCTGAGAATGACCTGAATGGTGAGTACATTTTCGTTCCGTGAAGGCTCAGAAATCTCATATTCCAGATGGAACAGAGTTCATTTTAAGCTCAGTGGCAATGAACAGAAGAGAGGGGTTGTTCACATGATAGCTGTGCAAGGAGGTGAAATGGATATCCTGCCAAGACGGAGACTCATCCAGACAGCACTGAAGGCCTGTAATACCAACATTTGCAAGGCCATGTCCCAGACAGACAGACAGACAGACAGACACAGAGAGAGAAAGTGAGAGAGAGAGAGAGAGTTTAAATTTAATTAATGCCTACGTCTACCATAACCCGAGAAGAAGCGTGTGAATAACCACATAGTGAGGAACCAGATTATCAAACACCAGAATAAATGAAAATTAAGTATGACCCCCTACCTGATATGGACAGACCTTAGCAGTATTTCTGGAGTTGAATAATTTTTATAGTTGCCTCAGAGGAAGTCCAGTGTACTTCTGAACTTCACAAGTGGAAAAAAAGACTCTCTTACATTTCCATTGATTGTTATCTAGCTGGTTTCCACCTACTTGGGCTCCCGGGTGTTTTGCCAGACTGTGGTCTCTCTTGGTCATCTAAATCCAGTACACATATATGATGTGGTGAACATCAATCAAACTGTGTCAGCCTATCTTCTGTGAGCACATCAGGTTCTAAATAATAAAATAATAAAATTTATCTCAGCACTCACTTTGTTTAAATATCGATTATCTATGTTCTGAGTCAAAAGTGAGATCTAGTTTAATGTTATAAAAGTGTCTTCATATTTTGTAAGTCTCTTAAGGCACATATGTAGCATAATACAGCGTAAAGCAATGAGACAAGTTCAGTGGACTTAGGAGAGTTTCCACTTTCATATGTACGTTATTTTGTTAAGGTTCAAATTCACTCTCTATATGATACAGAAAGTTCCATATTGAATTAGTCATTGGACAGTGCATATACTATACTATAGGAAAAGAAGTATCCTTGCTTTCAAGGAAGTTATTATTTTCAAAACTCACATATTTTACAGTAAGTAGTTCTTTAAGTATTTATTTTGAGCTGTATGTATGGCTCAGTGGTAGAACATTTGTCGAACATTAGGTTTGGTCCCCAGGAAAACAAACACAGCTTCCACCCATACATCAGCCTGGCAGTTTGGCTTGTACCTGTAGTCTCAATCACTTGGAAGGTGGAGGCAGGAGGACTACTGGAGCCCAGTAGTCCTACACTACCCTGGACAACATACTAAGATCCCATGTCAAAACAGAAATCCCATCTATCATGTTGATCAGGCTTATTCATGTTAAATATTTATAAGAAAATCCTTTCCATGAACATTTTCCATGAAAGATAAAGAAGGCTCAAGAGTTTGAAGATTTTGTAGAGATACAAAAGAGAACAAACTAGAAATGGCACCTATGATTTCAACTAGAATCAGAATTCAGCAGTCATTTTTTTTACCCACGTTTCCTGTATGTTCAAGATGTGCCCAGGAAACTTAGTGTGCTGGGGAAACAAATTCATCCACATGAACACCTTGCTAAGCAAACAAACAAACAAACAAACAAACAAACAAAAATCTATTTGCCCCCTTCCTCCTTATGGTGCTTGAGACAGAATAAAAAGAGAGAAAGAGAGTCCAACTGGGCCGAGGACTGCAAGAGACACTTGGAAATTCTCTCATTGTGGAACCAGCAGCTGTCAGAAATTGAAGAGTCTTAACAGTCAGTTCCACCACTCATTTTGTATGATCTTTACATTTTGAGAATGGAGCCTGGAAGGTAATTATCTGTGTTTCCAAGGTTTCTTACGGAATACCTGATAGTGGTATTCTAGCAGCAAAGCCCAGGGCATGGGGGTGGGGTGCATGTGTGTGACAATTATCCAAAGGAATCCCTCCGCTTTTAACCCAAGCAGCAATTAGAGGATTTACAAAAAGCCTCCCATTATGATTAGGCCTATGGAAAGAACACTACTAATTTGAATGTGCCATCCTTTGAAATATACTCTCCTACATTCTGGAGCTGACCTAGAATTAGGGTTTCCCCCTTGGGAATGAGAAGAGGGCTCATTTGGATTCAAGGACTACAGGTTGATCAATTAAAATGTGTTCTCTTTAAAGGCCTGTGGCATTATCCCATTGCTTTGCAATCTAGCTTGAAATAGAAACTGCATTTAACTTGCTAATTGGTGCCCCCTTGGGATTTTAACCTGGTGCTGAATGTATGCATCAATGTGGCCCTTTGCTTTTCTTTGACTCACACACTATTAATGAAATTTCTGTGCTCCTTGGAAGGAGGACATATATTATAACATTCAGACACAATCGTGTATTCATTCAGCAAGCCACACATAGAGCATTCACTAGAGGAGACTGCAAGCCGCCAGCATGTTGCCAGGCTAAGAAAACCCATAGAAATCATGTACCAAATTCATTTTTCTTTTTCTAAGCAAATAACCAAACTTGTTTAGATCCTGTACTGGAATCAAATCACACTGTCAAAAATAAATGCTGATTGCAAAACAAGGGATTCACTATAAAGTAACAGCCTTAATAGCGTCATCACCTAAAGGTGTTCTTTAGAAAAAAGATTCACAACCTTCACCTCTATGCTTGTTTATTGAAAAAGAAAAATCAATCCGTTAACATTTGACTGCTTCTAAACAAAATAATTCCATGATGTCACTTACTATGAGAAACTATCCTTTTCTATAACAAGGTTCTTTTTTTTATGACCAGCTCTGACTGGCTCAGTGAGAATGCATTAAGATGCAGATTCCAGAGGGAAAGACTTTTCCCTTGGGCTTCAAATTCCTGCAGATGAGCTGCCAAGCACACATAGGCCTGCCCTCTGAAATCTCATTTGCAAATAGGATTGTGAGTTCAGATGGGCAGGGCAGGCGTGGGCAGGTTTTGTTCCCATTGCGTTGAGTGGGTGGCTGATGGGCCATAGGAATACAGAAGCAGGAGGATTTGCGATTCTTTGGAAGCTGTTCTTGCTTTTTATTGTCAAGGGAGACAGGGAAAGAGGCATAGCTCCATTCTGTTGCCTGCAGAAGCTTGAGGAGTGCCCCTAATCTTTTAGAGACCTCAGTTCAGACCAAGCCAGGATTTATGACTTTGACAAAGTAAAGAAGTTAAGAAGTATATACCGTGTGCGTCTTTCTGCTTCTGGGATAGCTCACTCAGGATGATCTTTTCCAGATCCCACCATTTACCTGCAAATTTCATCATTTCCTTGTTTTTACACTCATATAGACATATAATATAGGATAAACCTACTAAATTCTGTACACCTAAAGAAACTAATCAAGAGGGAGGTCTCTTGCTAAAATGTTCAATCCCTATCCAGAAAGGCAAAGAGGATGGACATCAGAAGAAGGAGAAAAGGGGGAACAAGTCAGGAGCCTGACACAGAGGACCTCTGAAAGGCTCTGCCCTACAGACTATCAACGCAGATGCTGAGACTTAAGGGCAACCTTTGGGCAGAGTGCAGGGAATCTTATGAAAGAAGTGAGAAATAGTAAGATCTGGAGAGGACAGGAACTCCACAAAGGGAGCAACAGAACCAAAAAAATCTGAACATAGGGGTCTTTCCTGAGACTGATACTCCAACCAAGGATCATGCATGGCGATAACCCAGGACCCTTACACAGATGTAGCCATGGCAGTTCAGTATCCAAGTGGGTTCCATAGTAATGGGAACAGGGGCTGTCTCTGACATGAACTGATTGGCCTGCTCTTTAATTACCTCCCCCTGAGGGGAAAGCAGCATTACCAGGCCACAGAAGAAGACAATGCAGCCACTCCTGATGAGACCTAATAGACTAGGGTCAGAAGGAAGCAAAAGAAGACCTCCCCTATCAGTGGACTTGGGGAGGGGCATGCATGCAGAAGGTGGAGGAATGGAGGGCTTGGGAGGGGAGGAGGGAGGAACCCACAGGGGGGATACAAAGTGAATAAAGTGTAATTAATAAAGAATTAAAAAAAAAGAAGTTAGGAAGTAGCCAGTATGAAACAGAGGTGGAGTTCTTTTAATGTGTGCTTTAGCATAAGGATCAAGAAAGAGGCACTGAGAAAGAAAGCTAAGGCATACTGAAGAGCATGGGTATGACCTTCTGTAAGATGGTCATAGTTCATTTTCCTTTTACAATAGTCATATTAGGAGTTTGGGAGTGTTAGGAGCAATTATCTTCAAAATGTTGCTAAGGAACCTAAATGAAAATTTAGGATGGCTACAGTAGGCACTTGACAGGATTACAATTCATAAGGCAGTCATGTAGATCTCAAGGATGAAGGAAGGTAGAACATATCAGTAAACAAAGTTCTCAGATGATGTCCGTAAAAAGGAATGAGATCTTACCCAAGGTTTACTACATTTCCACCTTAAGCCTGGTTTATTGCTATTTCAACACACAGTCTCTCTACTGACTCTAGAGAGTTGGCCACCTACACAACAAATGGTGCCAGAGTTCTTGCTTCTCAGTGAAAGTCTTTAAATGAGACATGGGGGTGAGAGGCTCTTTTTCTCTTTCTAGGTCCCCATAATTCATCCTGCTTTTCTACCCTGGCTTATCAGCATTTTGCTCATTTACAGTGCTCTAGACAAGACAGTGTTCTCAAAAATTCTTTTCAACAACATTGTAGAATACACTGATATGCCATCCATGCTCCTATACAAGCCATCTTTCTTTATCTAGAATGGAAAGATTTAGAAAGAAATACA